ACGCAGGTGCTTGTCCCCTGGGGCAGCGTGGGCACTCCCTCCATGGCAGTGACCCGGGCCCAGAAGGGGCGGCTTTCTGTTCGGAGCCTCCTCCCAGCCTCTCCACGCCAGCCACGCCCTCTTCAAGAACAGCCTGTGTTTGATCCTTTGTAAAAGACACATCAGTTCTTAGACTAACAAAGGATATAAAACCAGTGAAGTGGAAGCAGTTAAAGTGAATGCCGAAAATATAACCCAAGGGTGGTTTTGTAGGCCTCTGAACCAGGCCTGAAAGGTTCAGAGGGCAGGCTGTTCACACTGCCCAGTCGCTGCCCAGTAGGATACTGATGACCGGAAGAGGTCATGCTCACTGAGCACCTGCTCGCCAGTCGCTGTTCTGGGCCTCTCACACGTGAGGAAGCTGGGAGCTGAGGTGTCAGTCCCCTAGCTGGGGTCACACTGTGAGTGAGGCCACTGGAGCCCTGCCACTGACCGACCGCATCTCCACCTCCCAACACACGTGGCCGCGATGAGCCTTTTGCACTGGGGTCAGATCCAGCCAGCCACCAGTCTACCCTGTGTTTTTATTTTAAGGAATTGTAAACTTCTGGAATCCTATCTATGTATTGCCTACCTGACCACAGATCTGCAAGGGTCTTGATTTTCCTCTCTCGGCTGTTTGAGCACAGAAACTCGTGCTAAGCATTTCACAGCGACACTAACTGCACTCAATTGGACGGGATGGGCCTCTCAGCACAGACAGTGAGGTCTGAGGCAGTAATTGTTAGCATCGGCCCGGAGAGCTGCCCACCTGCTATCGGCGCTGTGGGTTATCGGCCCGTGAACCGCCAAACCACCACGAAGGGTGGTGCCCTGCCCTGTGGCTGGGGCAGTCGGAAAACAATACTCATTCTTTACTTCTCCTCTTTTCTGGCGAGTGATTATCCACACACCATTATCCAGCCCGTCCGTGCAGTTTCATTTTTCCATGATGTTCACACCATTGGACACCAGGGGAAACTCACGGACACCCTTTCTTAGTGTAATTATTCAGTGTTCGAAAAGAAACGCTGTATTAACACTGTTTCTACTTCATACGTTTCTTCATCTGGTCCAAGTACCAGCAGTAAAATTTTATAATCACACTTGTCTTCTCACCCCTGAAAAGCTCAGCAGGCCCCAGGCCAGCTATGGCCAATGGGGCCCGATCGCCAGCTTCGAACCAACAGCCAGCGCTTTGGCTTCTAATTGCACAAACACTGAGAAAGCATCTGAGAGACCTGGGAAGAGCCAGCGGCCAGCACGTGTGGTTGTTTGTGTGAGAGGGAAGGGAAACCTCACACACAGAGAAAGCTTTTCTCCTCACCCACACATCACCCCGACCTGGGGCACGCCCAGACCTGAGGGCCGGCCGCTGCCCGCCTTAGGTAACAGAGGGAGGGAGGGAGGCCAGGGGGAGCTGCCCGCCTCCTCACCCGGCTCCTGGACTCCACTAAGGGCAGTCCTGAACTGAAATAACCAGACCAAGCACCATGCAGGGTTATTTCCGTCCAGGAGCGGAAATAACTAGTCGGAGCACCTGGACCAGTGAGGTGGTTTCTTCCCCGGCGACATGTGTTCAGCACAAGTACTGATCAGGGCGGAGAAAGCAAGGTGGCACTCCCTTTGAAATGCCCCAGGGAAAGGGGAAAGTGCGGATTCTGAGAACTGACTGGCAAAAGGGATGTTTCACGTCTGGCAGAAGTCCAAGATAGATTATCAAGCAGATAGCTTGTGAGCGTTAAAGAGAGCGTTGTGGTCTGAAGGCACCAATCTGATCCTGTTGACACAGGATGTCACCAAGACGTTTGACAATATCTCCTCACCCTAAGAGATACATCGGTGACCCGCGCAATGGGTAATAATACCGAGTGGGTTTGAAACATTAAAAGTCTAACAAGATGTTGATTGGCCCCTTGACTGGAAAGGGAGGTCTCTGATGAGCTCTGGCCCTATCTTTGATCTGACCTGCTTGGCATTTTCATCAGCAGTAACTTGAGTGTCATGGTAGAGGTTTGCTCATCAAATCTGGGGATGCTCCAGCTTGAGGGGCTGATTCACATGGTAGGCACAGACTTTAAACTGGAGGCAGTTTGAGTTGGCTACTCAATGGTCAGAGGAAATGTAACCCAGCAGTGTGTGCTCCTGAGCCTGGAAGATCAAGTATAAACTCACAGGCGGGGTGTGAGAGGCCTGGCTTGAGAGCATTTTATGTGAAAACTAGAGGCCCAATGCATGAAGATTCATCCAAGAGTGGGCCTTCCTTACCCTGGCTGCCGGCACTGCCTTCACTCTGGCCAGAGATAGCTTTTCACTCCGACCGGGAGCTGCCTTTCTGCCTTCCCACACTGCCCAGAGGCCCGGAGCAGCTGGGTGGTGTGGAACACCTGCATTGTCACCATAGCAGCAATGCAAGCGTCCTGTCCCACCCCCAATCACTCAATGCCTGTGTATGCAAATTAAACCACCATCTTTATTGGGTTAATATGCATATTCACTCCTGGTTGGCTGGTGGGTGTCACAAAGGTACGGTCAGCTCGAATCTTACTCTTTTACTTAGTGTAGATACCAGAGGGTTTTTAGTAGGCCCCACTTTAACTGGCCACAACAATATGATGTAGCTACATATAAAAGTGCATGAGTACATACAAATACACATATATATATACACATGCTACTAAACCGTTCCTCTACTGCAGCAAGGGCTGTGGTCACAGGAAGACAGCAGTCTCGCTGCCCTTTGCCCCATCAGGTCATGCTGGGTCCCGTACTCGGGTTGGATACTTTGTTCTGAGAAAGCATAAATGGGCAGCATTTACACGGAGGCTGGCCTGGAGGGTGCTGGACACTGAGGCACAGGGGTGAGCAAACACAGCCAGGACTCCTCTCAGCGGGCGTGGAATACAGTGTGGGGAGAGGCAGTCAACCCTGAACATACAGGTGACAGTCACAGTCATGACAGAGGATAGGTCAGTGGGGTCATAAGACTTCTACTTGGGCTCCTCTCCGTCTGGAGACACGGAAAAGGGCCAAGCACCCCTAGGTCCTGTGGATGATGAGGAGGTAACCAGGCCAAAGGTGCAGGGAAGAGCCTTCCAGCAGGAAACCCCTTCAATGACTGTGGGAGACACCCCGGGAGTGGGGTGCTGGCCTAGAGACGCAGGGGGTTCAGGGGAGGAGGTGGGCAGCCCTCAGACACTCAGAGTGCTTCATGCAGAAAAGGGAATAGGGCTGCTTTCTGTTCCTCCGAAGGGCAAATACTGTTGCTGCCCCACGAGTGACACTTGTGAGCGGCAGGTGCTGCCCGTGGAGGAGGAACGCACATATGGCCAATGAGGGAAGACTGTGCCTGACCCTCTGCGAAGGCGCTTCTTTCCTGGAGCAGGAATGAAGCTCAGAGACCCCGGCCATTCTGTCCGTCCGCACTGTCCATCACCCTGGGCAGATGAGCTGGACGTGCCTTGCAGGCCGGCTGTTCCTTCGGAAGACAGCTGTCCAAGGCTTCTGACCACGGCCCCCAAGGGGACCTGCACACATTGCTCACGTGGGAATAAGGGGCTGAAATGAATGCCCCTTATGGATGCCCCTCACTGCATGCAACCTTTAACCCTAGTCTTAACCGACTCACTGTTCATGACCCACTAACAGGGTCACAGTCTCATTTTGAAAACCGCTGGCCAGAACCCCATTGAGGAGGAACTCACATCTGGCCAACCATGTGAGAAGCACCCCCTGTGTGCCCTCCCAAGGCTCCTGAGGAAGTTCACCCACTTCTCCCCTCCTCCCTCCCCCCATCCCCTTCCTCTCCCCTGCCAGCTGCCCACTTCACTCCGCACTCGGCACCTTCTCCCTCTCCTCCCACCCCACACCCTGCTCTCTCCTCCACCACCCCCAGGCCACCCCACGCTCCCCCACAGGCTGACTCCCCTCAGCAGGGGAGGGAGGGGAAGAGGCAGGGTCAGCATTCTCTTTGCTCTGGGCAGCACCCAGCACCCAGCTTTCTACAGGAAAGAGGGTCTCAGTGGTGACTAAGTCACTGGGCCCACAGAAGCCTCTTTCATGAGCACATTGAAAATCTCAGCATTCGTAAGAGTACCGTTTTCCACTGCATGTTATTGCAAATGTGGTATATGTTAATATATATGTTAATATCAGAACAAAAAAGGAGATGCTTCTATCTCCCCAGCATCATGGACATTTTTATCATTCGTTTTTAAATAGGAAACTCCACTATGAATAATCTTTAATACCTCTGGCAGTTTTGACATTGGAGACTGCCTCGTAGGTAAAAGCACAGGAAACCCCTCTATTCACAGGTTCGGGATTTGTGGTTTAAAAAATGCAAGCCTCGTCCTCCCTACCCTGTGGCTTTACCCACCTCCTCCGCGCACAGGGCTGCTGCTGCCGCCGGCGGAGCCCGGCCGGACCCGGCAAAACCTGTGACTGATGTGAAATGCTGACACGGTGTGGGCATGCAGAGCACGTGCGCCACAGGGTGACCCCGAGGACGTAAAGGCGCTTTCCTGGTCTGTGTCCGCCAGCGTCGGGAATGAGTCTCCGGTTAAACATTGTTCACCTGCATAAGGAAGTGCGGCGGAGCAGTCATTCCTCCCGCGCCAGGCCTGAGGCGTGCGGTGAGCGGGCGGCTGCTCCTCAGGCCCGGCCCAGGCCCTCTGCTCATTCTGGCAGGTGTGGGTGCCCCGTTCTTCATCTCTACGCGGGAGAATGCATATCTGTTGGCTCTGTGTACTAAGCACTTTAAAATGTGCCTGCTATGGTTTGTGGAACATCAGATTTCACACTGGAACAAAATTAGTTTTTTTGGTTTTTGTTTGTTTGTGGTGTGTGTGTGTGTGTGTGTGTGTGTGTGTGTGTGTGTGTGTGTGTGTTTTACTGTGTCCCTCACATGAGGAGCACTGGGGCTGGTGGATCAGGGACAGTGCCGCCGGCCTCATCCGGTCTCTGGTCTTGTTTCTGTCCAGGTTGCCCGGCTCATGGAGATGGGATTTTCCAGAGGTGACGCTTTGGAAGCCCTGAGAGCTTCGAACAATGACCTGAATGTGGCCACCAACTTCCTGCTGCAGCACTGACGGTCCCCGCAGACAGCACCGGGCCTGGCCGAGCCGCTGACCACAGCGGCGCCGTCCCGGCTCCCGGCAGCCCCAGGCTCCCGCGCCCAGCAATGTTCTCGGTATCTTCTCGGGCTGAGGGTGGATCCCGCTGCCCCCTCCCTAATTCCAAGGTCGTTACTGTTCGGGTATGGAAAATCAGTTTCAGTACTCTCAAGTAAGTTTGCCATTATATTAGCATGTATTTTCTGTCTTTACTTTTTTTTTTTATTGTGTGTTTTCCCCAGTTCTGAGAATCATCACTCGTTCCTGATGTGTTTAAAATGCATTAAATTTGCAGCTGTCTGCAAGCAGTTGAATAGCGCTCCAGATGGGAAATTACTGCTATTGTAATATTATCCTTTTTCTTGCAATGCATCATCTTACGTTATGTCTCATCGTGAATGCCTAAAAGGAGAAAGGGGAATGCTATTCAGAAAGGACATGTCAGGTTATATCCATTAGGGACTTTTTTCATCATCTTTTTTTTCCCCCTCAAATTTGTTTTCAAGCCCTTGTGGCTGTTCATTGGCCTCACTTCCGAGGGTACCGATCTGCTGCCCGCAGTATTGGCCAGGCCTAGGTGATGAGGGAGAGACGGAGAACTAATTCTTACCCTGGCCCAGCCCTTTCCTGTCCAGGGGATTTTTTCCAACTCCTTCTCCCCACCTCCATTAAAAAGTAATGAAAATCAGTCACTGATTCCATGACACTTACCCAGAGTGAACTTTGCTTAGAGCATCCTCAGTTATCACTCAGGTGAGGGGGGAAGTGGGTCAGAGAGAACAGAGAGTGGTGGCCAGGTGGGGCCGGTAGGGCAGATGCTCCTGGCCCAGGGCGGACTGGGGCCTGGGCACGAGGCAGTCACCTGAGGGGGGTGTCATCACGTGGAGATGGTGGGGAGGCCGGCGAGGGGCGAGGCTGAAGAAGCCTAACACAGGTGACTCAAGGTTTAAGGAAAGTGTTCAACGATTGTGTTTTGCAAAATGAGCAGAAATGTATCAAACTGATGTAAATTTGGACATGTATGATACTTACAATAAAGTTTTTAAAGTGCATTCCTTTTTGGTATTTGTTGTTAGACTTACTTAAATGAAACTTGATTGTAGGCTATGCCACATGCCAGCTTCCTCCCCTAAGAAAAGTGGCCTGACTGCATGTCTTTCTTCAGAAGATTTGGGCGCTGTTCTGAAGTGAGAGAAGCCCTTTGTTCCTGCCAATAGGACTGGCCCGAGAGGCCCCATCCCCAGGCCTGTTGGGGCCATCGGCTGCTCAGAATGGGGCCGAGTGACTGGGAGCCCCGCGGGCCCCGCCCCGGCACAGGCTGCAGGGACAGTCGGCAGGGTTGGGGGTGTCCTCCACTGCACTCACCGGCCAAGGGCAGGAAAGAGCAGCCTGAGTGTGGGACCTGTGGTCATGTGACCTGTGAGGCGTCTCCCATGCCGAAGGTCTCGGGGAAGAACAACCACACCCAAAAACGTGCCACCTCGAGGTTCCTTCTCACCTCGAACCGCACCCAGCACGGTACAGCCAAACGGCGGTGAAATGCTCGCGGACCGCGCTTCCCTGCTGCTCCCAGAGGAAGGGGGCGCAGAGAGCCCGCTGCGGGGAGCACAGGGTGGGCCTGCATTGAAAGGACTGCTCTCCGGGCAGGATTCCCTCCTCAGTGATTTCCTCTCAGAGATCCTGGTCTTGCCGAGAGCAGAGGTCAGCACGGGGTGCAGCCCCAGGACATGCCCCCAGCAGTGGCGGGGCACCCTCAGGCTCTCCCTGGTGTCTTTCAGCCTCCTCCTCAGTTCCCCAGGGGGAGCCCTGCTTTTCTCATTCTCCCCTTCATCAGCACACTCTCTAGATCAGCGGCCACCAACCTTTCGGACCTCAGAGACCACCAATGGCCCGCGGACCAGAATATCCTTATGGCGCCACACAGACTCACATGTCAGGCCTCTCACTCCCCAGCACGTTTCTTTGCCTTACTGGAGTTCCCAGCCCTGGTCCAATTTTATTTTTTATCTTATTTTATTTTTGTTAATCCTCACTTGAGGATATCTTTCCATTGATTTTTTTTTTTTTTTTAAGAGAGAGTGGAAGAGAAGAAGGAAAAGAGGGAGGGAGGGAGGGAGGGAGGGAAGGAGGGAGGGAGGGAGGGAGGGAGGGAGGGAGGGAGGGAGGGAGGGAGGGAGGGAGGGAGGGAGGGAGGGAGGGAGGGAGGAAAATATCCATTGGTCATCTCCTGCACACACCCTGACTGGGGCTGGGGATCAAATCCAAAACCCAGGTAAGTGCCCTTGACCGGGAATCAAGCCCACAACCCTTTAGACTGCAGGCTGACGCTCTAACCACTGTGCACAACAGCCAGGGCCTGATCCACTCTTGCCTCCTGCAGATTTTGAGGCACGCTGCAGCCACCTCCTGCAGGAGTTTGAATGTCCAAGAACACCCACACCTCTTACCAAGCACCCAGAAACCTTTCAGGCTGATGGGACCCCTAAGGGAAACCCTTGCATTTCACGCCTAGTGATGTGTGCCAGCGGGGTGCATCAGCAGCCATTTAGTCCGGGGTCCCAAAGTCTAGGAAAGAGCCTTTCGGCTTCTGATTCTGTGCAAATGGTAACAGGTTGGGCCTAATTTTCAAGTGAGCAGATTCTAAATTGTGTAATAGAAAGAGGAAGAAGGAAAACATTGTCTGTAGTGACACCCCACCTCCCCAAACAGAGGAAAGCCTGACTCCGAAGTCCTGAGTCATAAACCCAGACTGAGTTCGGGGTTAGAAAGGAAAAAAAATTAGGGAAATGGACACAAAATTGTGAACACATTCCAGTGTCCCTTAGAATGTTTTCTGAATCTCTGGGTTTATGTTTCTACAGCGGTTGTTCTGAATGGAAATGAAAATGTACAAACTTAAGTGTTTTATTTTTTTATTTTTTAAAATATATTTTATTGATTTTTTACAGAGAGGAAGAGAGAGGGATAGAGAGTTAGAAACATCAAGGAGAGAGAATCATCTGCTTCTTGCACACCCCCTACTGGGGATGTGCCCGCAACCAAGGTACATGCCCTTGACCAGAATCGAACCTGGGACCTTTCAATCCACAGGCCGATGCTCTGTCCACCGAGCCAGACCGGTTTCGACTGTTTTCTTTTAATCAGGCAGCATAAGTAATACTTAATTTGTGAGAACCGGATTGTTATTTTCTTCGAAGTCCCCTAGTCCAGTGGTCGGCAAACTTCTGCTTGCGAGCCACACGGCTCTTTGGCCCCTTGAGTTTTTAGCAAAGGCCAGCTTAGGAGTACCCTAATTAAGTTAATAACAATGTACTTACCTATATAGTTTAAGTTTAAAAAATTTGGCTCTCAAAAGAATTTCGGTTGTACTGTTGATATTTGGCTCTGTTGACTAATGAGTTTGCCGACCACTGCCCTAGTCCATATCTGAAGGGAGGGACCAACAACGTCAAAATCAGCCTTCTGGCTCAGACTGAAACTTGAGTTCTGAAACTGCAGTCTGTGTGTAAGAACATTGGACCACATCGTGTGATGTGTGAGCTGCTGGGTACAGTAGTACCTGATGGAGAACCCCGGGAGCTACCTGCTGGGGCCTCTAGTAGAGCTGGGATCTCAGGCAAAGCGGTTTGAGTGGGGAAAGCGGGTCCCAACTCCTGGCATCACTTGGTCTCTTCTGATGCCCCTCCCTGCTTCAGAGGAGTGCTGTGCCCGTGGGGGAAGCCCAGGCCAGAAGCCCAGGTGGCTGATGTTTCTGTCTTAAGACTGCCATTTCATTTCTTTCCAGTCAGTTTTGCTCTTCTGCTGTCTTGGCGGGTTTTGCACGTGGAGTTTACCTTATAAGATTACATAACGATGTGCTGCAGCAGTCCTGCATTGTATCTGAGAACGGCTCAGCCTAGCACATCCGTGCAGATGTTGTTACCCCCTTATTTCTGTAACCTGTGAGTGACCCCAGCCTCTCCTGTGCACAAAGGTGCCAGGGTCACAGAGGTCTGTAAACCAGGCTGAGCCTGCCCCTTGGAGAGAGCAGGTGTCCGGGTACGTGTGGCCTCCTCAGCTGGCAGGGCCATGTGGTAGGTAGACCTGCACAGAGGAAGGTGATGCCAGCAGCTGCTGTGGCCTGAGGGACCGGTGTAAGTGGGGGGATGTGCACGCACTTTGTTTCAGTAACAGAGTGAGTCAGGCATATCTTGGGAAGAGCCAGCCACCTCTGCGGAGCAGGGGACCCTCCACCTGAGATGTGAGCAGAACGGAGGGAAGTTCAAACCCCGCCCCCACCCAGCCTTCTTGCTGATTGCCGGTGTAAGGGGCCATTTCAGAATATTGACGAAATCTCTAAATTGAGCTCAAACCCACTCCAAAACGATAAACACAAGTGTGGGGATAAGATTGCTTTGGGGCAGAAGAAGGAAGTGAATAGGGTGGGGGGAGGGCATGAATGAGGCGTTTTCTTGCCCAAAGAGCAGCCGACCTGGGCCACCCCTGGACGGTGCTGTCTTGCCCAGTTTGTGATTTGGGTGGGAATTAATCCACTTCAGTCCCTACGTCTGATGCTGCCAGCTTACCACGAGGGGGTCAAGAACTGCCTCAGGTGGATGCAGGGTACAGATGGGCTGGGGCTAAGGGAGAGACTGGTCCCTGGGGCCAGCGCCTGATGGGTAGGAGGTAGCATTTCAGAACCAGCCCCAGGGACCCTCCAGAACCGAGCTGAGCGGTGCTCATGGTGAACCTGACAGGTAAGCAGCAATTCGGCCAATGCCAGTGATTCTCTGCTGGCTGCCTCCATACACATCACGGGCCCCTGTGGGCAAGTGTTACACCACCAACTCCACCCTGGCTTCCCTCTTGTATGATCCCTGCAGCTGAAGAGAGAGTAAGTGAATGGGTGAGTGAGTGGGTGAGCAGGTGGGTGAGTGGGTGAGTGAGTGGGTGGGTGAGTGGGTGGATGAGTGGGTGAGGGAGTGGGTGAGCAGGTG